CCAGACTCATGGAACTCCATGTTCATCAAGAATTGCAAGAAGCCCCTATCGCGTGCCTTCAGCATTCTATGGAGAGGGAGCATGGACAGGGGTCATCCCACACTCACTAAAAACAACAGACATAGCCCCACTCCACAAAGGTGGCAGTAAAGCAATTACAAAGAACTACAGACCGATAGCACTAACATCCCATATCATAAAAATCTTTGAGAGGGTTCTAAGAAGCAAGATCACCAACCACCTAGATACCCATCAATTACACAACCCAGGGCAACACGGGTTTAGAGCATGTCACTTCTGCCAGTCCCAGCTACTGGATCACTATGACAAGGTCCTGTATGCTTTAGAGAATAAACAAAATACAGATGTAGTATACACAGACTTTGCAAAAGCCTTTGACAAGTGTGCCCATGGTGTAATAGCACACAAAATGCATGATAAAGGAATAACAGGAAAAGTTGGATCTATAACTTCCTGACAAAACAGAACACAAAGAGTAATAGTAAACAGATTTAAAGTCCCAGGCAGCCATGGTAAAAAGCTCTGTTCCACAAAGCACAGTACTTGCTCCCATTCTATTTCTTATCCGCATTTCTGACACAGAGATGTAAGCCATAGCTTCGTGTCCTCCTCTACGGATGACACCTCAATTACCATGGCAGTGACTTCCATCGAAGACACCGCAAGACTCCAAGCGGACATCAACCAAATCTTCAAATGGGCCACTCAAAATAATATGAAGTTCAACGAGGAGAAATTTCAACTACTCAGATATGGGAAACTTGGGGAAATTAAAAATGTATCAGGGTATACGACAAATTCTAACCATGCAATAGAGTGAAAAAGTAATGTGAAGGACTTGGGAGTGATAATGTCAGAGGATCTCGCCTTCAAAGACCACAACAATGTATCTACCGCATCTGCAAGGAAAATGATAGGATGGATAATGAGAACCTTCAAAACTAGGGATGCCAAGTCTATGATGATTCTCCTCAAATCACTTGTGCTGTCTAGGCTGGAATGCTGCTGTACACTAATGGCCCCCTTCAAGGCTGGCGACATTGCAGACCTGGAGAGTGTACAAAGAACTTTCACAGCACACATAAGTATGATAAGGCACCTAAATTGCTGGGGATGGTTTAAAGTCCTTGAACTGTATTCCCTGGAACACAGGCGAGAGATACACGATAATATACACTTGGAATGTCCTGGAGGGATTGGCACCAAACTTGCATACGAAAATCACTCCTTATGAAAGCAAAAGACTAGGCAGGAACTGTAACATTCCCTCAATGAAAAGCAGGGGCGCCACGAGTACAATGAGAGACAACACAACAAGTGCCCGGGGCCCAAGACTGTTCAACTGCCTCCCAGCATACATAAGGGGGTAATACCAACAGACCCCTGGTTGTCTTTAACCCTTTGATTGTTTTGGTCGTATATATATATATACATCTTACGCGCCACCGTTTCGGACGTATTAATATGCATAAATTGTAGCGGCTTCAAATCAAGCAGGAGAAAGCTGGTAGGCCCACATGTGAGAGAATGGGTCTGTATGGTCAGTGTGCACCACATAAAAAAAATCCTGCAGCACGCAGTGCATAAGGAGAGAAAAAAACTGACCTTTTTTTTTTTGGATTAAAAAGCCGACTTTAAGGTGTATTTTCGTATAGTATTTATCATTGTATTCTCGTTTTCATGGTCTCACGTGATAAAATGGAAAACATATTACAGAAACAGAGATGATTTTGATTAGTTTCGCAATGAAAACGACCTTGAAATTGAGCTCAAAGTAGCGGATATGTTCAATTTTTACCAATGTTCAGGAGTAAGCAAATCACACCACACGTCTAATACACATCAACTGGGGAGTCTAATATTCTTTCACTAGTGCACTGATATTATTTATACCATTTTTACAATAATGCAGTAGTCTGCATAACAGTAAATTTTGTAGTTTTTGTATGAATAAAAAATCAAAATAGGAAGCAATAGTAATATAAGAGGGGCCTAGATTATTATTATAATCATGGGGGAGCGCTAAACCCGTAGGATTATACAACAAAGGGGCCTAGAGACGTGAGTAATGAACAGAGAATATGTTATTTTAGCGGCAAGAATGTCTACATTGTTTATTCTGGACCCTATTTTGAATTTGGCATCTTTTTTAATTTGCGAGAAATTGGCCAAATTGCCAATTTCTGACCACTTTACTGGGTAATTTAAATCTGTAAATGGGCGGTTTCTTGTACTCAACTGATAGAAAAATGGAGTTCTAAAGAAATAGCTAGGAGTTTGGTCAACTGGAACAACGGAATTGGCCAAAAACTGGGCTCAAAGTCGGCGAAATCATCGGTGCGTGTATGTCACAGACCGCTAACTTCGCGGGAGTGTAATTCCGTGAGTTTTCAACCAAATTTCGTACTTTTGGTGTCATTACCATCAGGAAAAGATTCTCTATCATTTCGTAAGAAAAATCATTTTTTTTTGTTCCCAAAAATTTTGCGACATAGAATGACAGTTTCAGAAAGGGGCTTGCGACAGTCAAAGGGTTAAGGAGGCACTGGACAGGCACCTAAAGTCAGCACCTGACCAACTGGGCTGTGGTTCGTACATCAGCTTGCGTGCGGCCAGCAGAAACAGCCTGGTTGATCACACCCTGAGCCACAATGAGGCCTTGTCTCAGACCGAGCTGCGGGGGAGTTAACCCCCGAAACCCTCTCCAGGTAAACTGTTGCATGAATCTTACTTATCAACTTGTTAGTAATTTATACCATTTTCAGCATAAAATTTCTGAGTATAAAAAGCCATAAACAATGCTAATTTAATAATGTACTTGTTAGACTGTATCTTCAATATATTTTACAGTTTTGAACCCAAAATTAGATAAAAGATGACAAGAAACTGGAAAAGCAAAGAAGAGCAACTAGCCTAATACTAGCACTAAGAAATTAATCCTAGGAATAAGACTCAAAATTAATCTTTCTTTAAAAAAGTGGAATCAAATTCATACATTAATATGTAATAAATTTGAGTTAAACAAGAATAAATTGAAACTCAGTGAATACAAAAGTGGAATGAAGCTTTTCTGACCACAGTCATACAGCAGTGGAATAAAGTACTCTCTAATGTTGCAAATGCAGATACAATACCACCAATAAACACACAATAATTAACTCACTAGTCCACAGAACTGAAACAATGGTCTAAGATACCATTTTATCTAAAGATTTTTTTGAGAAAAGACATGCAACAATTGAAATAATGATAACGGTGAAGTGTAGGCTGAAGGTGCTAATGACTACAGATGTCAAGTCAACCAATCAGGAGTGACAGGGAACAATTCAAGGCCATACAAAACAAGACAGACATCTTGGAGCAATGCAATAACTAGTCATACCCTCAAAACAAAGCAATTATGGCAGATATAATATGGTACCATATCAACTTACAGGGCATGACGTGTATTTGTAGTGAATCCACGGCATCAGTTGTGTAGAAATTTGTTTATTTCAAATTTAATGTCAGTCTCATTATTATTTAAATTGCCAAGATTCTACTGTAAGTTGAATATCACTATAATCTGGTAACAAAACAGCAAAAGCTGACAAGTGGAAATAAAGACACTGGTAGCAGAGAATCTTTTTAATGTGTTTTGCCTGAGGCTGGGCTCTATGAAGTATATGGGAATAAGCAAATTCACTGCCTTTTATGGCAAATAAGCACCACGAGGTCAAGCTCAGAGATGTCGTATGTGAGGTTATCAAAGTATGGGCGAGTTCAGATATATGAAAGTTCAGGTACTGATGAGAGTAGGGTCTGGGGCTAGGGTGACATATTGATTATATGAATCATGGGTAATGTGGGCAATAGGTCTAGTCAACAAGTATATTCTGCTGTTTTGTTCAGTGGTATTGGTAAGGAGGATTACTGCTGATTCCAAAATTCTGCATTTGGCCCTGTTGTTCTTGTGGTATAACAGTTATGTTCTTTCCTAAGTCTGTGACATATGAATGGAAATTATGATGGGTTATGCATGTGTTTTTAGTTACAGCCCTCCTGTAGGCATAGTTATGCATCCTTAATGTAAAGTACAGTGGACATCAATAATGTGCATGGGCTATGGTCCTAAAAACTGCTCTACCAATGATTTCCACGAGATCACATATACTTGACATCGCAATATCATAAACACATGACGGCAATCTTTCTGTGAGCCTGACCTCATGGTGCACTTTTGCCTTATGCAGCAGTGTATCTGCTTATTCCTGTATACTTGATAAAGCCCAACCTTGGGCAAAATGTAGTATTAAAAGGATTTTATGCCACTAGTGTCCTTATTATTACTGTAATCTACTGAAAATGATACTGCTGCTTCAACTTAACCAGAAAGCAGCAGAATCAGTCTTGTGTGTCTTGAAGAAATATTAGAAGCATACAGCAATGCATTATATATGTTTAATAAATATGATTTATTAAAGTTTCAAGAAAGTGAAATGTAAAGTAAAAAGACACAAGTGCAATTAATGTGACTTTTTATTGTGGCAACGTTTTGCTCTCTAGGAGCTTTGTCAAGCTGTTGCCACAATAAAAATGTCACATTAGTTGCACTTGTGTCCTTTTACTTTACATATTGTCAGTAATTCTACCAACTTTATTACAAAGTGAAATGTAGAACTCTACTAATAAAGGTCTCCTTTTGCAACACATGTCTCTCTGACCAACCCTTAATACACAGGCTTCTATTTTCAAATTAAAAATGTTGCGAATAAATTGCTTTAAAATAGTTACATAAGAAATAAACTGTGAAATGTAAGGAATAAAAATTCATAAATTAAATAAAACTTATCTAGTAGCAACTATGAGTGAATATTTAATTTCTAGAATTTGCATAATGAGAAACAAGAGAGAATGAATAAAAACCTCTGCCTGTTATGAACAGGAGTAGGTCATGCACAATTAGTACACTGATCTGCCAGGTACAAGTGGTATCTTACTTGATGGCGGGGCTGCAGGTGGTTCATTGGAAGGTGGGCAGGTATAACTCCTGGGCCCCCAGGTCCTGGGTAGTCCATCCTTGGAGGTGCTGCTTCACCTGTCATACCAACAGGAGCATAGCCAACACCTACAGGCCTCTGTTGTTGCTGTGGCTGGACTTGGGAATAATGGTGTGTAGCTGTACTAGTTATGGGTGGGCCAGTATTATAGCCATGACCAGCTTGATCTGATGGCATGTATGCAGAGCTAACTGACTGTTCAACAGCAGGCTGAGTGGCAGAATAGCCTGATGGACCTATTGGTTGACCAGGTACAGGGCCTAAGAAAGAAGACGGACCACCTGCCTGAGAGGCTTGTTGGGGATGTTGCTGTTGTTGTTGCTGCTGTGAGGTAGGCAACACACCTGTTACAACAACTGGCTGTGTCACATGCATCTGACCTGAGGCAACATTTGGATCTTGTGGAACAAGAAGGCCTACACCAGAAGTGGTAGTCATAGTATTCACTCCTGGTGTTAGTATGAAAGACACTGTTCCCGCATGAGCCGTTACAGCTGGGGGTAATCCAAGTCCAGGTGTAGGTGGTGGTACTCCTAGAGCCATACTAGTACTTGGTGGGGGTATAGATGCATTTACCGTGGGTGGATAAGGATTGTCAGGAGTACCATGAGGTGTCACACTTGTAAGAGGACTCGATGTACTGATAGTATTTGAAGACAATGAATATGAATTACTAAGTCCTATTGAGCGTGCCATACTAGTTTGTGCAGCTGAGACATCACTGAGAATTGGTGTCTGATTCATAGATATGTGATTATTTCCAACAGACACTGCTAAGGATTGAGGTGCTTGCTGTTGCTGCACCATTGGATTTGGCACTCCTTGTGGATCGTGCAAGGCATTTGGGTGTGCCTGATGATTTGTAGACACGTTTGCTACAGGAGCAGCAACCTGTGTGCCAGTTGCAAGGGCCACCAAACGTGGACCTTCAGGAGTGTTAATAATTTGTGTGCCAGGGGGCAATGTTACCAGTTGGGTGCCAGACGATGTATGTACCAGCTGTTGGTTTGCCACTGCTGCAGAACTTGAGACCACTGGTGGTGCAGTAAGATGAACTACTTGCTGGGGTAGAGAGACAACAGTAGCTTGTATCACCTCTTGCTGTGGCATAACCTCCTGAGAAACAGCTGCTCCACCAGGTTGCAGATGTGGGGCTAAAACTGTGTGTAAGACATTTGTATTCACTTGAGGTCCACCCACTTGACCCTGAAGGGGAACTTGGGGAGCCATTTGATGTCCAACATGTGGGGGTACCATCTGCGAATGTGGCACCTGAGGTGGCACCATCTGGGAGTGTACCATCTGTGGAGGTGGTGCTGGTGGAGCAGTCATTTGGTGAGGGGCCACTTGGACTTGTGTGATGTGAGGCTGTCCAATTCCCCCACCTGTATAAGAATAAATGGAAAAAATCATTCTATATTAAGGTCACTAAAATGTCTTGCTTAATTAATATATGCAAAAATTCCAATAGTTAAACAATGATACAATAAAACCTCTAATTAATGGATTTTGGCAATTAAAAAACAAAAAAACAAACACACACTAATTAACCCTTTCAGGGTCCGTCCCGTAGATCTACGGCTTTACGTTGAGTGTCCAAACCGTAGATCTACGCCAAAATTCTAGCGCCGTCAAATTTAGCGCGAAAACGCTCATAGGCCTACATGTGAGAGAACGGGTCTGCGTGGTGGGTGTGCACCATAAACAAAAAATCTAGGCGCCCGCATAGCATTGTGGGAACGCCGGCTCAGTTACCCTTGTTCACCATGCCTCGTCGCAAGTCAGCTCTCACTCCCCGGAAAATTGGGACTCTCCTCTTCCTATCTGATAGTTCTGACACTGATGGAAGTGGAAATGAAGACGAATTCTACGGCTTTGATCAGTTAGTGACCGAAAAGAATGACCAGGATATCGATAATAGTGCAGAAAACCCTGACGATCCTCAACCTTCTACCTCTGGTGTGGGCACTCGTGACTCACGGTCGGTTGTTCCTCATCGCAAGAGAAAACTAATATTTTCGCGTGGCCAGGCCTCTGACTTCAGTAATGATGATGATAGTGACGTGGACTGTGATTTTATTGCGCTCGACGATCATTCGAGTAGTGATAGTGAGGAATCATATTCACCAGTGAAGCGTCGGTATGTTCGCCGCTGCTGTGCCCAGGGGACGGAGTACATCCCGTGGCCCAACACCAGTTTTAGGTAGTGATAGTGAGGATGATGTGGCTACACTTGGCATGGATAGACCACAGGCATCAGTGGATGGTGTTAGTGGTGATGGTAGTGGCACCGCCATGCGTGACTCACCAGGCCACGCTGGGACCCAAGCTGCTGACTCGTCAGTTCAAGGACAAAGCGGAGCGCCAGCCACCCGCACAACCAGCCTATGATATCCAGTATCCACCAGCAAACCGTATGTGGGATTGGCAACAAAATCCCAATTTTGTTCCCAAGTAGGTAGAATTCCACTTTGATGACTCTCAAAGTGGAATTCTACCTACTTGTCCCCTTGGAACCACGGCCAATGAACTGGAATTCTTTGAATTATTCTTTGACCAGCCATTGATGGAAATTATTGTCAGGGAAAGTAATAAGTATTTTGAGTACACCATGGCAAATACGATCTTATCACCACAGTCAAGACTACACAAATGGAAAGAGACGACTGTTGCAGAAATGTATTTGCTTTTTGCAACAATAATGCTTATGCCTCACGTCTATAAGCATAATATAAAAGCATACTGGTCCACAGATCGGCTAATTTCTACCCCGGTCTTCAGTGAAATCATACCAGTGAACAGGTTTATCTTACTCTTACGTATGTTGCACTTCTCTGACAAAACCAGGCCTGATAGAAGTGACAGGTTATACAAGATTAGAAATGTTTTCATGTATCTCAAACAAAAGTTCAGCATATACTTTTATCCATTCAAGAATCTTGTAATTGACGAGTCTTTGATTTTGTTCAAAGGTAGACTGTCATTCAAGCAGTATATACCGAGCAAGAGGAAACGCTTTGGTATAAAACTGTTTGTACTCTGTGATTGTGACAGTGGCCTGGTGTTGGATATTGTTGTATACACGGTAGTAAAACATTGAAAGATACCAAGATGTTATTGGGTATCTCAGGTGACGTAGTGAGAAACATGATGGCACGTTATCTTGGTAAGGGGCATACATTATATACCGATAATTGGTACACAAGCCCATTACTCAGTGATTTCATGCGAGTGAACAATACAGATGTGTGTGGCACAGTGCGTTCTAATCGTAAACATATGCCCAGGCTCAACGCAGGTGCTCATGGTGATGACGTGCAGGTGTTACTGCCAAGACATCATGGCATTACGGTGGCATGACAAACGAGATGTCACATTGTTGACAACCATTCACCGTAATGAAATGCAAGACAGTGGCAAAGTTGACCAAGTGACTAATGAACGTATTCGAAAACCAGTGACAGTGATTGATTATACACAAAACATGCGCTTGGTTGACAAATGTGACATGCAGATTGGTTTTGTTGACTGTGTTTGTAAGAGTTACAAGTGGTACATGAAACTTTTCTTCCATCTCATGGACATTTCAATGCTCAATGCATATAATATGTACCAAATAAAGACTGGCAACAGACCACCGTATGGTGAGTTTTGTTTGTCTGTTGTCAGACAACTCATAATTAAGTACCAGGTAACAACACCTGCTATACAACACGGTCCTCGAATTCCTCAGGATATACCCAAGCATTTGAGGAGGGAAGGTGATCATTTCATAATACAACTTCCTTCAACTCAGAAGAAATTTGCTCAGAAGAGATGCATCGTCTGTGCACCCAAAAAAAAAGACGGCAACAAAGACGCAAAGACACTCGTTTAATGTGTGAGGAAAAGTAAGGTGCCTCTGTGCATGGTGCCTTGTTTCAAGGAGTTCCACAAGCTCCAGCAGTTCTAAAACCATGTCCAGTGATTGTAAATATGTAAATATATGATAGAACATTAGTATTATACAAGATTTATGCATGTTTATTGTAATAAACAACAGTGGTAAACAATAATATGATAATAACTTTAGTGCAGTTATTGTGTTCAATACAGTGAGTTTATATATATACATTATATACAGTATTGGTCTCTCAGGCCCCAAATGTTATTAGGAATAGAAAAAAATTGGAAAAGAAAAGAAAAAACAACAAAAAACGCAAAATAATGTATTATTATTATTATTATAATCAAGGGGGAAGCACTAAACCCGTAGGATTATACAGTGCCTATGGGGGGATGGAAGGCATTCAGGCTTAATTCAGGGAACTGGAGCACAGATCCAATTCCCTAGATCAAGAGCCCCTCACCAGCGTCAAGGAGCCTTCCTTGAGGGGCAAAATAATGTAATGCGCGTATGTGGAATTCGTCGATGTTGCTGCCACCACATCATTTTCGACAAACTTCTTGGCACTGTATCTCGGTAAGTACTGATCAGAATTTTTTTTTTTGTCTTATTACCTTCACAAAAATATGCTCTTTAATTCTGTAAGAAAAAAATATTTTTTTTTTTTTTTTTCAAAATTTCTTGGACACTGGAGCACCACTTCAGATTTTGGCCTTGGACCCTGAAGGGGTTAATGGACAAAAAGGACATATTATCATAATTCTTGCATTTTGTCCATAGCAAATATCCCATTGTCTTCTGAAGTATCAAGCTAGTCTACTAACTCCAATGTTTGTCTGGTATGGATCAAAGTAGCCATGTCCACAACCTGTTCATTTTCATTATTCCCTGAAGCATTAGTATTACTGTGCTCACTTACACACACACACACACACACACACACACACACACACACACACACACACACACACACACACACACACACACTTGTCATTTAGTCTCTAATTTTTGCTGGATTCAGAGAATTTTGTGTAACTTTATTAACCCCTTGACTGTTGCAACCCCAAATCCTGAGGCGTTTCCTGGTGTCGAAAAAAAAAATGGAAATGATAGAGAATCTTTTCCTGATGGTAATGAAACCAAAAGAATGAAATTTGATGCAAAACTGATGCAATTACACTCGTGAAGTTAGCGACCTCGGTGATACTGTATTTACGAATCTGCAATTTCGCCCACTTTGAGCCCTATTTTCAGCGAATTCCATTGTTCCAGTCGACCAAACTCATAGCTATTTCCTTAGAACTACATTTTTTTCTATCGACTGAGTACAAGAAACTGCCCATTTACCGATTTCAACTACCCAATAACATGGGCAGAAATTTGCAATTTGGCCAAATTCATGAAAATTAAAAAATATGACAATTTCAAAATAGGGTCCAGAATGAACAATGCAGACATTTCTGGCACTAAAATAACCTTTTCTTTGTTCATCAGTCATGTCTCCAGGCCCCTCTGATATTACTCTTGCTTTCTATTTTGAATTTTTGTTCAAACAAAGAATAAAAGATTTACTGTTATGCAGACTACTGCAATATTGTAATAATTGTATAAATAATGTCAACCCATTCATGACTGCATATTAGAATGGCTAGTTGGACATTTATTGAACAATGACATCATTTGTTTACTTTTGAACATAGGCAAAAATCAAACATTTCCCCTACTTTGAGCTCCATTTCAAGGTTCTTTTCATAGAAAAACCAATCAAAACCACCTCTATTTCTATAATATGCTTTCCATTCTATCAAATGAGCCAATAAAATGAGAATATAACCATAAATACTATATGAAAATAGACCACAAAGTCGGCATTTTAATAAAAAAAAATCGGAGTTTTTTTTCCTCATTATGCACTGCGTGCTGCAGGATTTTTTTTATATGGTGCACACAAACCCATTCTCTCATATGTGCACCTACCAGTTTTCTCCTGCTTGATTTGAAGCCACTAGAATTTATGAGTATATATACGTCAAACACGGTGGCTCATAAGATTTATATATACGACCGAAACAGTCAAAGGGCTAAAGGTTTCTGAAGTGGTGGTACCAAGAGAAAATGCATGGTTCTCAGAAATCAACATTTTCTCAGCCCTCTACTTCCTCTCGGGCCACTACTTCTTCATAGCCCTCTACATCATCTCAGCCATCTACATTTTTTCTCTAGCAGACCTTTACAGCTCCTATGGCTCAGAATAAAAGTTGCTCTAAGTAAATGCTATCAATCAGGTAGCAAGTAAAATTACTGTAAGTTTCGTAGAGTGTACTATCAAATTACTATGAAGTATAGTACTGTACTGTAGTACTATGGTTTACAATACCAGTTCTAGTGTTCAGTTGTCTTCTGCAGCAGTGGACCAAGTCCACTACTTCAGAAGACAACCAGATGACCATGAAATATTAATTTCATAATTTGGGAGTTGCAGACAACCAGCATTATCATTCACCCCCTCCCCCCCCCCAATTAGTCCATTAATGAGAAGTATAATTTTTTTTTTTATTATCACACTGGCCGATTCCCACCAAGGCAGGGTGGCCCGAAAAAGAAAAACTTTCACCATCATTCACTCCATCACTGTCTTGCCAGAAGGGTGCTTTACACTACAGTTTTTAAACTGCAACATTAACACCCCTCCTTCAGAGTGCAGGCACTGTACTTCCCATCTCCAGGACTCAAGTCCGACCTGCCGGTTTCCCTGAACCCCTTCATAAATGTTACTTTGCTCACACTCCAACAGCACGTCAAGTATTAAAAACCATTTGTCTCCATTCACTCCTATCAAACACGCTCACGCATACCTGCTGGAAGTCCAAGCCCCTCGCACACAAAACCTCCTTTACCCCCTCTCTCCAACCTTTCCTAGGCTGACCCCTACCCCGCCTTCCTTCCACTACAGACTGATACACTCTTGAAGTCATTCTGTTTCGCTCCATTCTCTCTACATGTCCGAACCACCTCAACAACCCTTCCTCAGCCCTCTGGACAAGTTTTGGTAATCCCGCACCTCCTCCTAACTTCCAAAGTACGAATTCTCTGCATTATATTCACACCACACATTCCCCTCAGACATGACATCTCCACTGCCTCCAGCCTTCTCCTCGCTGAAAACTTTCATCACCCTTGTTTTACACCCATATAAGAGTGTTGGTAAAACTATACTCTCATACATTCCCCTCTTTGCCTCCAAGGCAAAGTTTTTGTCTCCACGACTCCAAAGTGCACCACTCAACTTTTTTTCCCCTCATCATTCTATGATTCCACCTCATCTTTCATAGGACCCACCCGCTGACACGTCCCTCCCAAATATCTGGAATACATTCACCTCCTCCATACTCTCTCCCTCCAATCTGTTTATTCAATCTTTCATTACCTAATCTTTTTTTGTTACCTCATAACCTTCTCTTTCCTGTATTCACCTTTAATTTTCTTCTTTTGCACACCCTACCAAATTCATCCACCAATCTCTGCAACTTCTCTTCAGAATCTCCCAAGAGCACAGTGTCATCAGCAAAAGAGCACTGTGACAACTCCCCCCTTTTGTGTGTGATTCTTTATCTTTTAACTCATGCCTCTTCCAAGACCCTCGCAATTTACTTCTCTTACAAACCCCATCTATAAATATATTAAACAACCACGGTGACATCAACATCCTTGTCTAAGGCCTACTTTTACTGGGAAATAATTTCCCTCTTTCCTACATACTCTAACTTGAGCCTCACTATCCTGTAAAAAACTTCACTGCTCAGTAACCTACCTCCTACCCCCATACACTTGCAACATCTGCCACATTGCCCCCCTATCCACCCTGTCATACGCCTTTTCCAAATCCGTAAATGCCACAAAGACCTCTTTAGCCTTATCTAAATACTGTTCACTTATATGTTTCACTGTAAACACCTGTCCACACACCCCCTACCTTTCCTAAAGCCTCCTTGATCATCTGCTATCCTATTCTCCGTCTTACTCTTAATTCTTTCAATAATAACTCTACCATATACTTTACCAGGTATACTCAGCAGACTTATCCCCCTATAATTTTTGCACTCTCTTTTATCCCCTTTGCCTTTATACAAAGGAACTATGCATGCTCTCTGCCAATCCCTAGGTACCTTACCCTTTTCCATACATTTATTAAATAATTTCACCAACCACTCCAAAACTATATCCCCACCTGCTTTTAACATTTCTATCTTTAACCCATCAATCCCGGCTGCCTTACCCCCTTTCATTTTACCTACTGCCTCACGAACTTCCCCCACACTCACAACTGGCTCTTCCTCACTCCTACAAGATGTTATTCCTCCTTGTCCTATACACGAAATCACAGCTTCCCTATCTTCATCAACATTTAACAATTCCTCAAAATATTCCCTCCATCTTCCCAATACCTCTAACTCTCCATTTAATAACCTCCTCTCCTATTTTTAACTGACAAATCCATTTGTTCTCTAGGCTTTCTTAACTTGTTAATCTCACTCCAAAACTTTTCTTATTTTCAACAAAATTTGTTGATAACATCTCACCCACTCTCTCATTTGCTCTCTTTTTACATTGCCATTCACCACTCTCTTAACCTCTCTCTTTTTCCTCCATATACTCTTCCCTCCTGCATCACTTCTACTTTGTAAAAACTTCTCATATGCTAACTTTTCTCTCCCTTACTACTCTCTTTACATCATCATTCCACCAATCGCTCCTCTTCCCCCCTGCACCCACTTTCCTGTAACCACAAACTTCTGCTGAACACTCTAACACTACATTTTTAAACCTACCCCATACCTCTTCGACCCCATTGCCTATGCTCTCATTAGCCCATCTATCCTCCAATAGTTGTTTATATCTTACCCTAAACTGCCTCCTCTTTTAGTTTTATAAACCTTCAACTCTCTCTTCCCTGATGCTTCTATTCTCCTTGTATCCCATACTACCTTTTACTCTCAGTGTAGCTACAACTAGAAAGTGATCTGATATATCTGTGGCCCCTCTATAAACATGTACATCCTGAAGTCTACTCAACAGTCTTTTATCAACCAATACATAAATCCAACAAACTACTGTCATTTTGCCCTACATCATATCTTGTTATACTTATTTATCCTCTTTTTCTTAAAATATGTATTACCTATAACTAAACCCCTTTTTATACAAAGTTCAATCAAAGGGCTCCCATTATCATTTACACCTGGCACCCCAAACTTACCTACCACACCCTCTCTAAAAGTTTCTCCTACGTTAGCATTCAGGTCCCCTACACAATTACTCTCTCACTTGGTTCAAAGGCTCCTATACATTCACTTAACATCTCCCAAAATCTCTCTCTCTCCTCTGCATTCCTCTCTCTCTCAGGTGCATACACGCTTATTATGACCCACTTTCTCGCATCCAAACCTTTACTTTAATCCACATAATTCTTGAATTTACACATTCATATTCTCTTTTCTCCTTCCATAACTGATCATTTAACATTACTGCTACCCTTCCTTTGCTCTAACTCTCTCAGATACTCAGATTTAATCCCATTTATTTCCCCCCACTGAAAACTCCCTACCCCCTTCAGCTTTATTTCGCTTAGGGCCAGGACATCCAACTTCTTTTCATTCATAACATCAGCAATCATCTGTTTCTTGTCATCCGCACTACATCCACGCACATTTAAGCATCCCAGTTTTATAAAGTTTTTCTTCTTCTCTTTTTAGTAAATGTCTACAGGAGAAGGGGTTACTAGCCCATTGCTCCCGGCATTTTAGTCGCCTCATATGACACGCATGGCTTACGGAGGAAAGATTCTTTTCCACTTCCCCATGGACAATAGAAGAAATAAAGAAGAACAAGAGCTATTTAGAAAAAGGGGAAAAACCTAGATGTATGTATATATATATGCATGTGCGTGTCTGTGAAGTGTGACCAAAGTGTAAGTAGGAGTAGCAAGATATCCCTGTTATCTAGCGTGTTTATGAGACAGAAAAAGAAACCAGCAATCCTACCATCATGCAAAACAGTTACAGGTTTCTGTTTCACAGTCATCTGGCAGGACGGTAGTACTTCCCAGGGTGGTTGCTGTCTACCAACCTACTACTTTACAGTTATTCTCTGTTACACAAAGAGGCCATGTTCCAGAGAAACCTTCATTACATACACTGAGATATTTTATTTTATTCTTTTACCAACACGGTTTCACTCTCACCACGATAGGGACAACAAGGCAACATCTCTGCTCCACCGTGATGAGTTGACTAACACCAAGGCTGTGTCCCACCAAGGAAGCGTGACCCAAAAAAGAAACACCCTCGCCATCATTCACACATGACTGTCTTTGCAGTGGCACTCAGATACAACGGTTCAGATGTCACTCCAATATCCCAAATCCCTCCTTTACACTGCTGGCAATATACTTCCCACCTCCTGGACTCAAGTCAGGCTAACTGGTTTCCCTGAATCCCTTCACAAAACATTACCCTGCTCACACTCCAACAACTCATCAAGTCCCAAAAATCATTCATCTCCATCCACTCCTAACTAACATGCTCACACATACCTGCTGTATGTCCAAGCCCCTTGCACACAAAACCTCTTTTACTCCCTCCCTCCCATGCTTTTCTAGGATGACCCCTATCCCTCCTCCCCTCCACTACAGATTTACACACCATCCAAGTCATCCTATTTTGCTCCATCTTCTCTAAATGACCAAACCATCTCAACAACCCCTCCTCAGCCCTCTGAATAATACTTTTAGTAACTCCACACCTCCTCCTAATTTCCACACTATGAAATCTCTGCAAAATATTTACACTACACATTGCCTTTAGACAGGACATCTCCACTGTCTCCAGCCTCCTCCTTGCTGCAGCCTTCACAAACCATGCTTTACACCCATATAAGAATGTTGGTACCACTATACTCTCATACATTCCCTTCTTTGCCACCATGGATAACATTCTTTGTCTCCACAGATACCTCAATGCACCACCTACCCTTTCCCTTCATCAATTCTATGGTTTACCTTGTCCTTCATAAACCCATCTGCTGACAAGTCCATTCCCAAATATCTGAACATATTCACTTTTTCCAAGCTCCCTCCCTCCAATGTGATATCCAATTGTCTTTATCTAACTCATATGATACCCTCATCACCTTACTTTTATCTGAGATATATTCCAAGAAAAAAACCCATTTTCTCCAAAAACATAAGAACTGTACTGTACATTCATACAAGTTCCTAAGAAAAATTCAACTTTAAATTAAAACTTAGCAAAATAAATACCTAATGCTACATCTGGTTGTTGTGGAGGAGGTTGACTAAATATAGGAGCAGGTTGCTGCAGCTGTTGATGCTGCTGCTGTTGGTGTTGTTGCTGCTGCTGTTGTAGTTCCTGCTGTACCTCAGCAATAACAGTTTGAGCTAGATTCACCACCAGATCCTTAGCTTGGTTGAATTGGTCTTGATTATCATGCCTGGTAACATGGATTCGGTATTACACAAAAAAAAATTATATATTTTTCACAAGCACTGATGTTTAGTGAATACTAAGTAATCTTTAGCCATAAACTGTATTATAAATGGCACATTGCACATTTTTGCATGCCTAGAAATACTAACTATACAATACAGCCTCTCCTCACTTAACGAGAGAGTTCCATTCCTAAGACCACGTCAGTAAACGAATTCATCGCTAAATGAGGAGCATAGTATAATGGTAGTGGGTTTGTGTCATCCATCTTTGATATTGTTATAATGTCACCTTTGCACCATTTATAACATTTCTGGTATATTTTTAAGTGTTTATACAGCATTCGACTGTATGTTGTAACAAAAAGAATAGAGGAAATCAGCTCTAATATACGGTACATTATTTAGGTATGCATACCGGTTAGAGAGCTCGTCTTAAGTCTGAGTCGTCGGTAAACGAGTACGTCGCTAAGTGAAGAGAGGCTGTATACTGTTTCAATACAGTGTTACTAGATGCAGTAATTCAAAGAAAAAGACTTTTCACTGATGCAAGTACATCTGTCAAAAATGAAAATTTGCATTTAAAAATACTTTTCTATGCCATAATATATATGAAGAACTGTAGATATTATTCTTCCTCCGTAAGCCTTGCGTTTTATAAGAGGCGACTAAAATGCCACAAGCAAGGGGCTAGTAACCCCTTCTCTTGTATACATTTATAAAGTTAAAAAGAGAAACTTTTTGCTTTTTCGGCCACCCTGCCTAGGTAGGATATGACCGGTTTGTTGAAAGAAGAGAAGAACTGTATATATATATGAAGAGCTTTTCTATGCCATAATATATATGAAGAACTGTTAAATGTTGATGAAGAAAGGAAGGCAGTGATATCATGCACTGGCCAGGAAAGAATAACATCTTATAGATGTGAGTGAGTGATGGAGACAAATTATTTTTGGGACTTGACAAGCTGTTGGAGTGTGAGCAGGGTATTATTTTATGTAGGTTGGTAAACAGCAACTGCCCAGGGAGGTACTACCGTCCTGCCAAGCAAGCGTAAAACGGAAGCCTGTAATTGTTTTACATGATAGTAGGATTGCTGATGCCTTTTTTTTGTCTCATAAACATGCAAGATTTCAGGTATGTCTTGCTGCTACTTACACTTAGGTCACACTGCACATGCATAGACAAGCATATATATACACAGGCCCCTCTAGGTTTTCTTCTGTTTCCTTACCAATTTTTCTTCTTGTTTATTTCTTCTTATCTCCATGGGGAAGTGGAACAGAATTCTTCCTCCGTGAGCCATGCATGTCCTAAGAGGCAACTAAAGCACCAGGAGCAAGGGGCTGGTAACCCCATCTCTTGTATATACGTATTATTAAACTTAAAAGGAGAAACTTTCATTTTTCCTTTTAGGGCACCCTGCTTTGGTGGGATACGGCCGGTGTATTGAAAGAAGACTGCAAACAAATCACAAAATGTATGGGGCTCAAACCTATGGCAGGCAAGCCCTAATATTCACAGACCAGAGTGCTACCCACTATATAATGCTGAACTAAAAAGATTCATTTAACTAGTGAGTTAAACAAGTTAAGAAAGACTAGGGAACAAATGGATTTGTCAGTTAAAAACAGAGTAGGAGAGTTAGTAGATGGGGAGATGGAGGTTTTGGGTAGATGACGAGAATATTTTGAGGAACTTTTAACCCTTTGAGGGTCGACAGGCCCTCTCCGAAACTCGTTCTCAGGGTCGGCCAAATTAAAAAAAAAAAAAAAAAATTATTTTCTCTTATGAAAAGATAGAGAATCTTTTCCCGATCATAAAGACACCAAAAGTTTGAAATTTGATAGAAAACTTACGGAATTATGCTCTCGCAAAGTTAGCGGTCTCGGCGATGTTTACACATTGGCGATTTTGCCCACTTTGAGCCCCATTTTCGGCCAATTTCACTGTACTAGTCGACAAAAAACATGAATATTTCGCTAGAACTCCATTTTTTCTATCGAATGGGTGCAAGAAACCACCCATTTATGAAATTCAACTATCCAGTACAGTGGTCAGAATTTAGCAATTTTGCCAATTTCACACAAATTTCAAAAGATGTCAATTTCCGAATAGGGTCCAGAATAAACAAGAAAGACATTCCTGGCACTAAAATGACATTTCCTCTAGTCATTAGTCACGTCTCAAGGCCCCTCTTATATTCTTTTGCTTTCCACTTTGAATTTTTATTCTCACAAAAAATATAAGATTTACTGTTATGCAGACTACTGCATTAGTGTAAAAAAAGGGTATAAATATTATTGGTGCACTTGTGAAAGAATATTAGACTCACCAGTTGACGTGTATTGCACGCTTGGCACGATTTGTTTACTTTGAAGTTTGGTAAAAATCGAACATTTCTGCTACTTTGAGCTCAATTTCAAGGCACCTTTCATTGTAAAACCAGTCAAAATCATCTCAATTTCTGTAATATGTCTTCCATTCTATAAAATGAGACCAAGAAAACTAGAATACAACAATAAATACCATACGAAAATACACTGCAAAGTCGCTGATTTATTCCAAAAAAATGGTCAAAGTTTTTTTTTTCTCATTATGCACTGTGTGCTGCAGGATTTTTTTTAGACTGTGCACACTGACCACATAGACCCATTCTTTCATATGAAGGCCTACCAGCTTTCTCCGACTAGATTTGAGGCCGCTAGAATTTATGCGTACTAGTACGTCAAAAACCCCTACACGTAAGACGTACTAGTACGACCAAAACCCTCAAAGGGTTAAATATCGAACGAAGAAAGGGAGGTGGTAATTTCATGCACTGGCCAGGGAGGTATACCATCTTTTAGGAGTGAAGAAGAGCAGGATGTGAGTGTGGGGGAGGTGCGCAAGTCATTACCATAGAAGAAAGGGGGTAAAGCAGCTGGAACTCACGAGATCATGACAGAAATGTTAAAAGCAGGGGGGGACAGTGTTGGAGTGGCTGGTATTTTTGTTTAATAAATGTATGAATGTAGGTAGTAGGTTGGTAGACAGCAACCACCCAGGGAAGTACTACCGTCCTGCCAGATGACTGTGAAACAAAAACCTGTAACTGTTTTGCATGATGGTAGGATTGCTGGTTTCTTTTTCTGTCTCATAAACACGCTAAGATAACAGGGATATCTTGCTACTCCTACTTACACTTTGGTCACACTTCACAGACACGCACATGCATATATATATATACATACATCTAGGTTTTTCTCTTTTTTCTAAATAGCTCTTGTTCTTTTTTATTTCTTCTATTGTCCATGGGGAAGTGGAAAAGAATCTTTCCTCCGTAAGCCATGCGTGTCGTATGAGGCGACTAAAATGCCGGGAGCAATGGGCTAGTAACCCCTTCTCCTGTATACAATTACTAAAAAAGAGAAGAAGAAAACTTTATAAAAATGGGTTGTTTAAAATGTGCGTGGATGTAGTGCGGATGACAAGAAACAGATGATTGCTGATGTTATGAATGAAAAGAAGTTGGATGTCCTGGCCCTAAGCGAAACAAAGCTGAAGGGGGTAGGAGAGTTTCAGTGGGGGGAAATAAATGGGATTAAATTGGAGTATCTGAGAGAGTTAGAGCAAAGGAAGGGGTAGCAGTAATGTTAAATGATCAGTTATGGAAGGAGGGAAAAAAGAATATGAATGTGTAAATTCAAGAATTATGTGGATTAAAGTAAAGGTTGGATGTGAGAAGTGGGTCATAATAAGCGTGTATGCACCTGGAGAAGAGAGGAATGCAGAGGAGGAGAGAGATTTTGGGAGATGTTAAGTGAATGTATAGGAGCCTTTGAACCAAGTGAGAGAGTAATTGTGGTAGGGGACTTGAATGCTAAAGTAGGAGAAACTTTTAGAGAGGGTGTGGTAGGTAAGTTTGGGGTGCCAGGTGTAAATGATAATGGGAGCCCTTTGATTGAACTTTGTATAGAAAGGGGTTTTAGTTATAGGTAATACATATTTTAAGAAAAAGAGGATAAATAAGTATACACGATTGATGTGGGGCGAAATGACAGTAGTTTGTTGGATTATGTATTGGTAGATAAAAGACTGTTGAGTAGACTTCAGGATGAACATGTTTATAGAGGGCACAGATATATCAGATCACTTTCTAGTTGTAGCTATACTGAGAGAAAAAGGTAGATGGGATAAAAGGAGAATAGAAGCATCAGGGAAGAGAGAGGTGAAGGTTTATAAACTAAAAGAGAAGGCAGTTAGGGTAAGATATAAAAGCTATTGGAGGATAGATGGGCTAATGAGAGCATAGGCAATGGGGTCGAAGAGGTATGGGGTAGGTTTAAAAATGTAGTGTTAGAGTGTTCAGCAGAAGTTTTGTGGTTACAGGAAAGTGGGTGCAGGAGGGAATGAGGAGCGATTGGTGGAATGATGATGTAAGAGAGTAGTAAGGGAGAAAAAGTTTAGCATATGAGAAGTTTTTACAAAGTAGAAGTGATGCAAGGAGGGAAGGTATATGGAGGAAAAAGAGAGAAGTTAAGAGAGTGGTGAAGCAATGTAAAAAGAGAGCAAATGAGGGGAGTGGGTGAGATGTTATCAACAAATTTTGTTGAAAATAAGAAAAAAGTTTTGGAGTGAGATTAACAAGTTAAGAAAGCCTAGAGAACAAATGGATTTGTCAGTTAAAAATAGGAGAGGAGAGTTATTAAATGGAGAGTTAGAGGTATTGGGAAGATGGAAGGAAATATTTTGAGGAATTGTTAAATGTTGATGAAGATAGGGAAGCTGTGATTTCGTGTATAGGGCAAGGGAGGAATAACATCTTGTAGGAGTGAGGAAGAGCCAGTTGTGAGTGTGGGGGAAGTTCGTGAGGGAGTAGGTAAAATGAAAGGGGTAAGGCAGCCGGGTTGATGGGATTTAAGATAGAAATGTTAAAAGCAGGTGGGGATATAGTTTTGGAGTGGTTGGTGCAATTATTTAATAAATGTATGGAAGAGGGTAAGGTACCTAGGGATTGGCAGAG